GGGGGGGCTTAGACTAGATGACCTATAAGGTCCCTTCCAACTCTGATTATCTGAAAGGAAGACTGCCTTAAATTCACCCGGCTGACTTCCTGCCCAGAATTCCGGATCTTCCCGTTTCTAATCTAGCATCTTAACCTCTTAATAGACCAGTGTTTTTCAAACTTGATCACTTTAACATGTGGGGAGTCAACTCCTCCGGCTTGTGGGCTGGGAAATTTTGAGAATTGATGTCCACACATCTTAAATTGGCCAAATTTATCCTCAGGATGCCACCATAGCACACCAAAAAGACACAGAGTTTTCTCCCCCATGCTTATCACTCTGCTAAACACACAATTCCCACGGCACCGTCTTACACTTAAATTCCTTGTGCGTCCAATCACACTTAGCCAATAAGGAATATTCATTCCAATTCCAATAATTTGAAATGGACTGACTCAATTTATGGATTTCGATTAAATTAAAAACCTTTCATTTCTCAAAATCATAAAGATCTTCAAGTCCTTATTTTGTAATTGCCTATTGGATGAAGTTTCCAAATTTCCACACCGTGGAAATTCACTGCATTACTTGAGCCAAAGGCTGCAATCTCAGAGCATCCTTCTCATAGGGCTGACTTTCTGGAAGGCTTGAAGGAGGGAGAGCTTGTAAAGTTGGATCATTCTCTTTAAAGCTTCCACTCTCTGATTCTTCTCCCACCTTAGTGTGTTGCTGCCATCTAGCGGTCACCTGAATTTTGGCAGCCCAGATTTCTTGACTCATATTTACTTACTAGGTTGATACCTGGGCTTCGCTACCAATACCAAACTATGGGGTCGGGCTTAGTTTTGGGGAGGAAAATAAAGGAGGGGGTTGGAATTCTGCCTACCAGGATCCGTTGGTATTCATCTGGCTAGCGTCCTGTCAGTGTGTGAGAGAGCTGATGGATGTTTGGAAACTGAAACAGTATTTGCTGTGTGAGCAAGGAGGAGACAGGGCATGGTTTAGCTCAACTGTTCTGTATACTAAAGCTGCTTGGTTCTGCTTGTGTTTTGCATTTGGAACAGATTTCTTTTCAGGTGGGGAGGGGGAGTAGAACTCCTTAGCATCAGAGCGTGTTAATAATAATATACTAAATACTAACGCTCTCATGGTCATTTCAAAAAATCTTTTCTTAGTGAGCACCTAGAAGCCAAGAGGAACATGCATGCCAAATTTCAAGTTTGTAGGCTTTATAGTTCTGGAGATTTTGTGATGATGCGTGAGTGGTATTTCATATATAGATAAATTTGTATCTTGCCCTTATTATTTTTGCAAATAACTCAAGGTGGCAAATATATCCAACACCACTTCCTCCTATTTTTCCCTCAACAACCACTTGTGAGATGGGTTGGGCTGAGAGAGGGGGTAGCCAAAGTCAGTCACCCAGTTGATTTTCATGGTTAAGGCAGGACTTGAACTCACCATCGCCCGCTTTCCAGCCTCATGCCTTGGGGAAATATGCAAATCCAAACCAAGCAAACCACATTATGACTGAGATTCATGAACCCCGAGCCTGTGAAGCATATAGGTTTGGGGTGAATCCTGCAAGTAATTCTCTTTCACTGCCAATGGAATTTGAGACCCTTTGTGTGCAACCTGCTTGGACAATATGAAAGTTCAGATCTCGTTGGATAATATGAAAGGTTCAGATGTTTTCTTTGTGACACCCAGACAAGACCTGTCAGTCCTCTGAATGTCAAACCACAAACTATCCCAAAACCAACCTGCTTAGCTTCCAAGTCCTCTTGCTTTCCAAGCCAGGCCTTTGTTTCATCTAGTCCAGTATCATTAACTGGCTGCAACTTCGAACTCAGATTCTTTGCAGTCCTTCAGCTTGAGAACTCTCTAGTGCAGAGGCCAAGGAGAACCAAGATTTTTTTTTTTAAAAAAAAGAGCCAATATGTTTTAAATCTAAAAGCACACAGTCCAGCTTCCTGATTTGCCAGTAACTGATCTCATTTCAGATTATTTCCATGAGTGTTTTCTCTCTCCGGGGCCCATCTAAAATCAGGAGTGGAGTAAGTGAGAGACATAAGTGTCTCTCAATGTGATGCAAATATCCTTCAGATTTTAAGTAGTGTGCTTCCAATATTAATATCTGACCATACAACTAATAAGTTCGCCTGCTGTGTATGCTGGCTAACCAAGCCAGTGTGGCACGATGGTCAAACCCTTGGCAGCCCTTGGATGCCAAGGTTCAAGGCCATTCCTCAGCCACACAAAATCAATAAAATGACCGGGTTACAGGTAGTCCTTGACTTACAACCATTTGTTT